ATTGCAAGCCACACTGGCACTCAGCGCCCACTCGAAACTCAGAGATATGGAAGCTGGAAACACGCTTCAAACAGGCTATGGCGCTTCAGTGCCTGTACAACTCTCTTCCCGTCACTGTGCTCAGCTCGGCTACTCACACACACTCAACTTAGGATCACCCTGGATATCCCACACGCGGCACACTGTATCACCCACGCACACACCCACTACACTCTTCTCCCAGCTATGGCGGCTATGGCCACTACTACTCCTACCGCTATGGCTAAGCTCTCCTCCGGTCCCCTTCGTCTTCGGGCATACTGCAGACCACCTCGCACAAGTCGCTGTGGCAGCGCTTCCCCATGGCTTCTGCAGGAATGAATGAATGACTGGGCGCTGCCTCTTGATTTATACTTCTGTAACTCGTTGGTATGCCCCTCTCCACCAGGCCTATGGTGCACACAGTCCCTCATGGTACTTGCTTGACTGGACTGGGACTGACTGGACCAGTACCGCTGACTGCATGGGTTTGCATTGCCAACTCAATGCAGTCGCACTGCCGACGTAATGCAGCTGGGCTCACCACTTGCCCGCTTGCCTCTGACTAAAACATGAGGGAGCTTCTAAAGGCCACTTCCGGACCTTCCGGAAGTCTGTGGACTTGGCCTTTCGAGTACTGTAGCAGCTACGACCTTGGCCTTTCAGGACTGTAGCAGCTACGACCTTGACCTTTCAGGATTCCTACAGCTACGACCTCTACAGGGCTGTGACTCCTACTCGACAGACCCACAGATCGAACCCCTACCACTACACAGACCTACGACAGACAACAACACCTATCAAAGCACAGGTCACGGGTTCAAACACTCGGGGTCGACACAGATACTGTACACAGGTAAAGTGAGAACTAGGGATCGAGCCCTGGGACCTGCATCCGCTACTGCTAACAGGTGAATACCGTTTCAAGATAAAGAATTGGATGGAGAAATGGGGGAAGTCAAAAATTGCTGAGATCAGAGTCATCAGACTTGTATTGTGACACTGCAGCAACCTTACAATCCACAGACACAAAAACCTTTATTCGTGGTCCATCGAGGGGAAAAAAAAGGAAAAAAAAAAAAAAGGGAGAGATGGCGAAGAGGGGTTTGGTGGAACCGTGGGCAAGGGTCAGAGACATCAATGCCCGCACCTCTCCTTCTCCTGTCCATTGGGCAGATACGCAAACATCCCTAACATATGCTCTCACACTTGCACATATTAATCACTTGATCACACAAAGAGATAGCATAGTATAATATTAAAAAAAAAGAGAGAGAAAAAAGAGAAAACAAGGAAAAAAAGGGATGGCATGGTATGATACAGACAGAAGCAGAAACTGAGGAGAAAAGTTCGAAACGACTTTGCAAAGTGAATAATGGCAAAAGTAATTTTGAATTTGGAACTGTAAAAATCAAAATCAGATTTTGAAGTGGCATTGCCATACAGGAATTAGCAAAACCTAGGATTCTTAAAGAACACGCAGCAGACATGGAGGAGTTACTCAGATGCAGTGAAATCACTTACCTGCTAAAAGATGCTGTCAAGCTGTCAGGCTTGTAATCTGTACCCAATGTTACTGGGTTTCACAGTAGCAGGCAACTGTCCGAAGAGTCAGAAGCGAACTTGAATTCACTTCAGGCGCACTCACAGAGGCACTTCCTAGGTGCATATGCTGAACTCTCCTTAGCTGCATTCCACTGCAATTATTCCAAGGCCAGATTCACTCAACGAAGTTCTACTGTCAGTATGCCTTTACACTGTTTACAGACTTGACAGCAAGCAAAAAGTGTTATCCCTACCATGCTCTTCTTTGCCTATTTTTCTCCTCTACACCGTGTTTCTTCCTTCCCTATTTTAGAATTCTACCCCTCCAGACTCAGCATTCTCCTTAGCCTCATCAATGGGACTCTAAGACTCTAACTACAGGCCCAGCTCAGATGGTACAGCAATTAACTGTTGAAATACAGACCCAAGTTCGACTCCAGAGACAATCAGATGATGAACAAAAGGAAACTCTAAGACTCTATAGAGTCTTTACGGTCTACTCCAACACCTACGTTGTGTAACTGAATGTGAAATTGTGTAGGTCAGCACAACCCTCTCCTTTTTCTTTCTCTTCTAGTCTACCTTGTCTGTCCTCTAGACTCTCAACATTACAATGGCAGTCGGGACTGTCATTGATTGTTGATGCTCCACTCAAACACCAATGATGTTGGGTGTCTAAATGGGAAATAATGTAGAAGCAAACATCAATTATTACCTCCCATGCTATTTCACTAACAATTCAACATCATAACGAATCTCAGCACGCACATGAAAAATAACACCCAGCAGAACAGCACAAACACTTCTCATAGGCTCATACCTATGCTTTAAAGCTTTGCGTGTTCAAGAATACCACAGATCATGCCTTCTGCAAAAGGTTGATCCACTTTCCATAAGGCTCCACACACAAACCACCTCTCTCTCTCTCTCTCTCTCTCTCTCTCACACACACACACACACACACACACACACACACACATACACACACACCTCACTCTCGCACACACACAATCACACACTCTCTCTCCCACACACACACATACTGCACTCTCTCTCACACAAACAATCACAAACGTGAGAGCATGTATGCGTGCACACCCACATGCACACGCACGTGAACATGGGCATGTGCCAAGCCAGTGCCTGCATGTGTGTTGTATAACTTTTTCCAGACACTGGGGATTACAATGGTGTATTCTCCCTGCCTGACGAATACAACCACTAACAAACCCTAAAAAAAGAGAGACCGATGGTGTGTGCTGTACGAACAAGTCACAGTAGTCAACGGTTGAAGGACCAGGACCGACGCGGGGACTTCAAAGCAGCCCAGATCACCTGCGGAAACTGGTGCACAAAGAGACACACATGAACAGCAATGTTTAACACACAAGCAATGAAACCAAAGAAAAGGCGGTTCTGCATCTTAACAATGGAACATCTCAAAGTACCCTTCATGGTTCTCTTTTACTCGAAATGCCAACCAGCAGTGCTCAGCAATTTTTGAGTCACAAATAGCAAAGAAATAAACTGACAAAATAGCATGAAGAATATCACACAATCAACGAAGAAAGCCAAATCATGACAGCCCGAATCGACAAGTTGCAATTGCAAAAAAATGACCAGTGTCATAATGAAAAGAAATGCGAGGACATCCGTTAAAATTGGAACAATTCAGAGAGGATTAGCATGGCCCCCGTGTAAGGGTGACACAGGAAAAAAAAAGAAGGAAACCCAGCGGCCTGCAATAACTCAGCTCAAATTTGCACCAGCCCTGGGCTGAGGGTCATCACTTTTGGTCAAAGGCCCGAAACGGGGGTCAAAGGTCATGCCCAAGTCGTGGAAATGCCTGAACGGAAGTCTGATGTTGTGGGGTACCCAAGACAAGGTCAAAACTGGCCTTCTGAGGCCCTACGTGAGGTAGTTAACTTGGGGAAAGTCGACAGTCAACCCCAGCTCGGGAATTCTGAAACGGTATTCACCAGTTCGCAGTAGCTGATGCAGATCCCAGGGCTCGATCCCTAGTTCCCCACCTTACCTGTGTACAGTACCTGTGTCAACCCGTAGATTTGAACCTGTGACCTGTAGGACCACCAGTGGTAGGTAGGGTCTCGGAGGTTACATGGTATACGGGATTCGAACTGTAGATCTGTCGGGTAGGAGTCTAGACAGTCCAGAGGTCGTATAGCTGTAGACTGTCCGAAGGGTCAAAGTCGTAGCTGCTACTACCTGAAAGGGCAGAGTCGTAGCTGCTACAGTACTGAAAGGCCAAGCAGATAGTTCTAGAAGTGGCCTTTCGGAGTCAGCCCCAGTTTAGGTAGAGGCCAGTGGGCAAATGGTGGAAGTCCACCGCGCAGAGTCAGCAGTCCCAGTCCAGTCAGTCCGGTCCAGTCAAGCAAGTACCGTCTGGGATTGTGTGCACCGGGGGGGCAGGGAAACAGGGCAGACCAACGAGGCACAGAAGTATAAATCAAGAGGCTGCGCCCAGCCATTCATTCATTCCTGTGGAAGCCATGCGGAAGCGCTGCCTCAGCATCTTGTGCGAGGAGGTCTGCAGTGTGCCCAAAGTCGAAGTGGGCAGAGAAGCGTAGTATAGCGATAGGGTAGTGGCAGCTAGCGCTGCCATAGCTGTAGTGGTGTGTGTGTGTATTGTGTGAGTGTGCAGGGTGTCGTGTGTGGGATATCCAGGGTGATCCAGTGTGTGAACAGTGGATGTTGGGCGCTCAGTCGCCATAGCCAGTGGAAGTGAACTTACCTGGAAGCCATATCTCTGTGTACGGTGTGGGCGCATGTCGCCAGTTTGTTGTGCTGCTGTTCACGTGCATGAAAAGTGTGAAAGAGTCAAGTCTGATTGCATTGGTATCGGAGCTGGTACCCACTGTCCCACGCGCGAAGTCGTGTGCAGGGTTGAGGCGCCATAGCAGAGGTGGCCGCGGAAGGTCACAGTCCGCCATAGCGGACCTCAGGAGGAAGAAGCCGCCGCGCACCTGCAAGGAGACCACGAAGGAGAAGACTAAGAGAGAGAGAGAGAGAGAGAGAGAGAAAGAGAGAGAGAGAGAGAGAGAGAGAGAGAGAGAGAGAGAGAGAGAGAGAG